TGGGTAGATTTGCAAGCCCAGGAAAGGTTGATTATCCTCTAGCTTTTTCGTGGTGGCTAGTAGTCTCAGTTACTCAGTGTCTTGGAATGTAGCCCTGGTGTTCTGCCTAAGAGGATTTCCAGAGGGTGGGATAGATGCTGGTTATTAATGAGCCTCAATTTGCATTTCTTTGCCTCACCTGGGAAAGGCTGAATCTCCAAGGGTGGGGGCTGCTGATTTCCCCAACAGCTTGGGGAAGGAGCATACTGGCCACTGTCCTTTGTGGCCACAACTCAGCAAAAATTCTGAGTGTCCTTCAAATACCAGGTGTCCCCACAGAGTTCCAGCCCAGTCTGCCCTTCCTCTGCCATAGCCACCAGGTGAGTGTCTATGGCTATTTTAGTGTGCTGTCCCAGCTCTCTGTGCTGTGGAGCAGGCTTGGTCTTTATTTCCCAAGGGCACTGCTCACAGCTAAGAGTGCTGCTGTCCACGGGCTTCCAGACCACCACCCTCTCAGGCCTCTGCAGGTCCTACCAGTGTCACTTGTTACATGGTCCTGTCCTGCTGCTTCTGTTGCTTTTTTTCCTAAGGATTTGTCTTTATTTTAGTTGTAATTCCCGTCTGGTCCTGGAAGATCGTCTGTGTAGCTTCTATTCACTCCGCCTCCATTTTCAGATCCTCTAAGTCTATGTTCTGTGCAGCTGGGTTGCACAGGCCTTTCTGGTGCCCCTGCACCCTGCAGGTTTTGCAGGTAACTGGATTGCACAGTCCCTTTGGAAACCAATCTATGCCTATGTTATGGGCTGCTGGGTCACACAGGCCTCTCTGGTGCTTCAGCACCCCACAGGTCCTGCAGGTAATTGGATGGCATAGTCCCTGCTGGGTCGCACGGGCCTCTCTGGTGCTTTAGCACCTTGCAGGTCCCGCGGGTATCTGAATGGCACAGTCCTTGCTGGGTTGCATGGGCCACTCTGGTGCTTCAGCACCCCACAGGTCCTGAGGGTAACTGGATGGCACAGTCCCTGCTGGGTTGCATAGGCCACTCTTGTGCTTCAGCACCCCGCAGGTCCTGAGGGTAACTGGATGGCACAGTCCCTGCTGGGTTGCACAGGCCTTTTTGGTGCCCCTGCACCCTGTAGGTCCTGGGTAACTGGATCGTACAGTCCCTTTGGGGCTCTGGCTCTATGCTTATGTTATGGGCTGCTGAGTTGCGCAGGCCTCTCTGGTTCTTTAGCACCCCACAGACCTTGTGGGTAACTAGATCACACAGTCCCTGCTGGGTCGTACAGACCTCTCTGGTGCCCCCGCACCCTGCAGTTCCCGTGGGCAGGCAGCTGGATAGCACCTGTCTGTCTTAGGCTCTGGCTTCCCACTGCTCTTGTGAACTGCTGGACCGCTCAGACCTCTGTAGAGCCACAGGTCCTGCAGCTGGTGGCTGGGGAGTGCTGCTGCCCCGTGGGACTCAACTCCTGCTGAGCTTTTGCTGTAGTTTTTGGAGATGGGTCTTAGTTGTTGGTCTGTGCTTCTGTTGCCTGGGGATGGATTCTGCTGATATATATATATATATATATAATTTTTTTTAAAAAATATTTCTTCTTTGATGAGTTTGGGAGAGAGGAATGGAGAGGGAGAGAAAGAGAAACATTGATGAGAGAGAACATTGATTGGCCACCTCCTGGAGGCGCCCCCCCGGGGGGGTTCTGGCCCACAACCTGGGCATATACCCTGACTGGGAATTGAACTGGTGACCTCTTGGTATGCTCAACCCGTGAGCACACCACCTGGGCTGATATTCTTAATAAAAAGCAAATCAACGATGAAATTACTAACTTTGGCATTTGACTACAAAATATTTATCAGTGTAAACTATAGGGAAATGATTATATTTATATGCAGAATTCCAAAATGTCTGTGTGTGTTTCGCATTCTGAAGTCTGTTGGAAGGAATTATTGTGTTTTCGGCAGAAAATTTTAATTAATTAATTATTTAATTAATTAATTAATTTTTGTTACAGATGGTTCTCCTTTTTACCCCATTGACACCCTGCTACCAATCCCCCTCCAGAATAGCTGTCTAAGTCCATTGGTTATGCATACATGTATATAAGTTCTATAATGTAACTCTTCTCTCTCCCCATCCCCCACTTCTGAGGTTTGTCAGTTTCTACCCCACATCTATGTCTCTGGGTCCTCATCAGTTTGTTTTGTTCATCATATTCCACAAATAAGTGAGATCATGTGTTATTTGTCTTTCTATGATTGGCTTATGTTGCTTAGCATAATACTCTCCAGGTCCCTCCAAGTTGTCTCAAAGAGTAAGAGATTTTTCTTTTTTGCAGCTGCATAATATTCCATTGTGTATATATACCACATCTTTTTTATCCACTCATCTACTGATGGACACTTGGAGTATTTTCAGATCTTAGCAATTATAAATAGCAGCAGGAAAATTTTTGCCTGATTTTTCATTTCTGTCTTACCAAAAAGAACTTTCTCTTCATTCTTCATGTTATTTCTTCCAATATTTACTTTTTGTCTTCTGACAATTACTTTTTAGGGTATAAACTTTATGTAGATTAGAAATCCAAACAGTCCAGCTACTGCTGTCTGCCTCAGGAAATGAGACCTAGGTCTGGAGGCTAGGGCTCTTGGCAGGGGAGGATGAGGTCAGGACTCAAAACCCTGAGAAAGCTACTGAGACCTGGCAGGACCATGTCCATAGAATCTGGGCCAAGAGATTTGGGTCCAAAGAAAGAAAGCAAGGATACTGACAATAAGGTTGGGTATAAGAGCCATGTTGGACATCAGTTGGCTGCTCAGTGTTTACTGATTTTTTCTTCTTACAAACATTTGATAATGGTTGTGGATTCTAGGAACCCAAAGTGTGAAGTTCCTCATAGTAGTGGGTAGAGTTTGATAATAAACAGAGAAAGAGAAAGACACATGAAGGCCCTCACTGTACAGGGATTGTATCATCTTCTGAGTTGAAGTGAAGGTAAAATGCAATGAAGCTTAGTTTTTAAGCCCCCCCAAATGGAAATAAAAGCCATGCTTAGAAATGTAGTTCTAGATATCAGGTTTTTGGTGTTGGAAAACTCCAGTAAAAAGATTTAAAAAAAATTTTAGTTTTAAAATAGTTTTAGGTTTGAAATTAAGCCTAATCAAAGACTCAGAAGTGAGGTGGTCGACATATTTTGTGGTCCTGGCCAGTATGACTCAGTTATTTGGGTATCATTTCATGCACTGAAAGGTTGCTGGTTTGATTTCTAATCAGGGCACATGACTGGGTTGCAGGCTCAATCCCTGGCAGGGGGCGTACAGGAGGAAGTCGATTGATGTTTTGCTCTCACATTGATGTTTCTCTCTCTTTTCTTCTGCCTTTCTTTCTCTCTACAAATCAATAAAAATATTTTATTTTTTATAAAAAAATATCTTGTGGCCTGTTCTATGAATCAAAACAAACAAAACAATCAATCATGCATAAAGGCCTTGTTCATAGCAGCATTGTTAATAATAGCTAAAATGTGGAAACAACCTTGTGTCCATCAGATGGATAAGCAAAACATGGTATATACATGCAAGGCACTAAGAAAATTTGGACATGTGTACAACATAAATGAATCTTGAGGACATTATGTTGAGTGAAATAAGCCAATCACACACACAAAAAATACTGTATGCTTTCATTTATATGAAGTTCTTAGAGTAGTCAAAGTCATAGAGATAGAAAGTAGACTAGTGGTAGCCAGGGGCTGGCAGGACAGTGAATGGGAGTTACTAATTCAATAGGTTCAGAGTTCCAGTTTTACAAGATGGAAAGAGTTCTGGAGATGGATGATGGCGATGGTTGCACAACAATGTGAATGTACTTAATACCCCTGAACTGTACTCTAAAAAATGCTAAATGTTATGAGATGTGTTTTTCACCACAATAAAAAAATACTAGTAGCAGATTTAGAATCTGTGGCAGAATGTAATTTATCTACTACCTCTGAAGTAGCTGTTACACGAAAGCCAGAGACAGAAGAGAGAGTCAAGGCAAGACTTAGGGAAGAGCCACATCAGGCATTAAGATAACCTTGACAGTTACCCCAGTTGAGAAAGCAGGTGCTGAAAACCTTGACATTCTTTTTTTTTTTTTTAATTTTTAATTTATTAATTTGTTTTTGTTACAGATGTTTCTTATTTTTTCCCCATTGACACCCTCCTCCTCTTTCCCCCAGCCCTATGCCCAGCTTTGTTGTCTGTGTTCATTGGTCATGCATACATGCATGTAAATTCTGTGGTTTATCTCTTCCCCCACAAATCCCCGCCTCCTCTGAGGCTTGTCGGTCTATATCCCACCACCATGTCTCTGGGTTAATTTTGTTCAGCAGTTTGTTTAGTTCATTATATTCTACAAATAAGTGAGATGATGCGATATTTGTCTTTCTCTGTTTGGCTTGTTTCACTTTCCAGGTCCCTCCATGTCATCTGAAAGGATAAGAGATCCTTCTTTCTTACAGTTGCATAATATTCCATTATGTACATGTACCACAGCTTTTTAATCCACTCATCTACTGATGGAAACTTGGGTAGAAATATACCCTAAGAAGCCTGAAACACCAATCAGAAAGAATATATGCACCCCTATGTTCATAGCAGCACTATTTACAATCGCTAAGATCTGGAAACAACCTCGACGTTCTGTAGACTGATTAACAAGAGAAGGAGCAAGGAGGAGGGGTCAATGGGAGAAAAAGGGGCGATATCTGTAATATTTTCAACAATAAAGATAAATTTTTTAAAAAAGTTCCAAATGCCATTCAGGCTCCTAAAGCGAGGAAACCACACTTCCTGAGCTGTGGGACCCCACAGGATAATGCCTGGCCTCCCCGTGGAGGGAAAATCCAAAATAATAAAAGCTTTTTACTTGACAATATTTTAAAAACTTTTTATTGTGGACAGTTTCAAAAAGATATAAAGGTAGAAAAACAGAATAAAGAATCTCCATCCATCTGTCATTCAACTTTGGATTCATTAAAAAAAAAAAAAGCTTATTGTAATTTCCCATGAAGCAGTATTTAGAGACACAAGAATTATTGAAGGAATTACTTTTTTTTTTTTAATGGCAATTATCTTACAGAACAGCATTGGAAATGTATTTCTTTCAAAATTAACTGGAAATTAAAATGTTTTGAAGCCATTGGAAACCATATGATTAGGTGAAGTAATTTCTAATATTTGAGGTGAGTTAGCACTTAATAAATGCAGTATTTCATTCCAGCATTTTCTTTCACCACGATGTAAGTTTTACCTGTAGAAGTCAGAAAAAAAAAAAAGAAAAAAGAAAAAAGAAAAAAAAAATAAATGAAAGAATTGGGATTTACTGGTTCCACATTTCTTTAGATTTTCTTGTTCCAAATATCAAATTTCCATTCCACCCCTATCCTACTGCCAAATTGTTACATATTTAATATCTACATCAAACAATGTCTCCTGGTTCAGTACAATTTATTAGGAAGAGTCATGATCACCAGTGAAGATTTAGATGAGCCTCCTAGGTTAGGGCTTCAATTTGCTTCCTTGGTTGAAACTTGTGTTCATTTTTTCATCCACAGTATTTATTAAGTGCCTACTATGTATCAGGCACTACTGCTAGGTGGTTGAGTGAACCAACAGAACGCTCTGTAGATTGCCAGAGTTAACTTCTGTTACCAAATGACAATGAATTAGCAAACATGTGATGGTAACAATCTAAAAGACAGGGAACCTAAAACAATTCTTTTTCACGGACTGGATGACTAGACCAGTCAACTGCCACATTCTAATTCCCGAAGGGCTACTTTGCCATCAAATTCTGAGGCAAGTTGGTAATATAGGCCTTTAAAAAAGCATCACTGCTTAGAAAGAGAGATAATAGTCAATTCTTAGGAGGTAGGATATCATGATAAAAATGCTCCCTGTCTTGACTTTGCTTGAAAGTAAGTGAAATGCTTCAGTCATGAGGGAAGCCATTTAAAGCAGTCAGAAGGCGAATGCTAGGAAGTTAAAATGGTACTGAAATGCAACATGCTGAAGCATGGTTCGTGAAGAGGGCATTATTTCATACTGCATGTGGCAAAAAGAGCTCAGAGAGAGACAGATTGTATCACTGTCAACCAGTCATACACAAGGCTGCATCACCCTGATGACACACTCTCAAAAGCCTCTCGTGAGACAGGACTTTTACAGAGAATAGCCATTTTTATGTGAAAACTAAACTTGGATGACAAATTTTATGGGAATTGGCACAAGAGATCGAAAGACAGAACTGAGTAAACCATTGCCCTCTTGCCTGAAACAGGAAGAGCTGAGATTAAAAATGTGAGTAGGAGAGCTTAGGTAGTTGCTCAACTTTGACAATACCGACACCAAAAAGTCAGTAATTCCTCTTCATAGTGGGGACTTTGGGAATTTTGAAAAACTCAGTGAATTGTCCACACTTAACTTATCGAGATTAAAGCAGCTCCCTACCACTTTGGAGAATGAATTATTACTTTAATATTGTGGTATTGATAAGAAAATACAACCAGGTACATTACACAGTCACACTCAGCATAAAATCTCAGTTGGTTACTGTTAGTAGCAGTGGACTTAGGCTTAGGCAGAGGACCCTCCGGTCATGCACATATCTCTACTCCCTTAAATTATGGTGTATCTCAGATGGGCCTGGTTGATACGTGGCATGTTTATTTGGTACATCACATGGCCACTCCTGTTGTGGCAGACATCTTTAAAAAGTCACAAAATTCTCTCCCTTCCAACCAGGCTTAGGCCTTTCAATCAAGGCTCTGGAAAGCCGACTACCAACTGATCGGTGTAGGTTGGCAATTAAAACCGATTTGCCCTTCATTTGTTAAGGAGTATCTCATGTATCTGTGAGCGAGTACCAAGGAAATAAAAGATATCTTTGAACAATTATTTTGATACTCATAGATGAAAGAATGTCTACCAACGTACCAAACATCCTTTAGAAAGCATTCATTTCTTTTCTTTTTTCAATATCTCTCTTGAGTTGACAAAGGACGCACAGAGGGAAAAACCCCAGCATTAGGAAATCACTGCAAATGGATCCCTGTTAAAAAAACAGACACAGGAGTCAACATGTAGCCTATAAATATAGTCACACAATTCCCTGCATATGTATAGCTTCTCTAACCTCTTTAAAATATACATTTTGTCACCTGTTTATCATGAGAATTCTGTGACATTATCCTCATTTTTCTGATGACCCAGAGAAGTTGACTTGCTAAGATCACAGAGCAAATTGGTGGCAGTGCTTGGTCATTTTCTTCTCAAGCCAGTGCCCTTTTCATAACATTCCCTACATCATTGCAGGTGCTCTGCAGGTTACAGTGATCGCCCCAGTCCTCTATCATCTGCTCTGAAATGGTTCCCTTTAAATCCAGTTGGGTACTGCACCAATTTTTCTATAATTGGTGAACAGTGCTAGAGCAAACCTCATGTTCTAACCCTCTAACCATCTCTCATGTTCTGCAAGGAAGGGATATATAATTATGGGGGGAAAAAGAAAGAAGAGAATGAATAATGTTTGGAAAAGCCATAGAATGGGCTGCTTTGCAAAGTTTGAGAGCTCTGTCTCTGGAAGTGTCCAGCTGGGCTCTCACTCACCCTCTGTAGAGAGGCCCTTGAAGGAACCCTGCTGTGTGCAGGAGGCACTGGGTGATCCAAGGGGCTCTAGTCTGATAACCAGCTTCTATGATGGTGTGTCATGATGGACTGAAATAATTTTGAGCTCCATTTTTAAAAAAATTATTTTTATCTTCACCCGAGGACATTTCTGCATTTATCCTCAGATAGAGTGGGAGGGAGGGGGGGGAGAGAGAGAGAGAGAGAGAGAAACATCGATGCAAGAGAGACACATCGACTGGTTGCCACCCAACCGACCCCAACACGGGCCCGGGACAAACCGCAACCAAGGTATGTGCCCTTAGTGGGAACTGAACCCAGATCTCTCTGATCCGTGGACTGATGCCCTAACCACTGAGCCAAACTGGCCAGGGCTTGAGCTCCATTTTTTTTTTTTTTTTTTATCCTCACCCGAGGATATTTTTCCATTTTTTGTATAGATAGAGTGGGAGGGAGAGAGAGGAAGGGAGAGAGAGAGAGAGAAACATCGACGTGAAGGGACACATCGAGTGGCTGCCACCCGCACGACCAACCAGGGCCGGGGACAAACTGCAACTGAAGTACGTGCCCTTAGCGGGAACCGAACCTGGGTCTCTCCGGACCGCAGGCCGACACTCTAACCGCTGAGCCAAACCGGCCAGGGCTTGAGCTCCATTTTTTGATAGCACTAATGTTTTTAAGATGTTGAGTAAATGCAATTTCCAGTCTACAGTGTGAGCAGAGAAAGAGAAAGGGGTAGCTGTTTTAGATTCGGTTTATAAGGATGAGGAGCTCCTTGAGGTTACATTGAGATTGTGAGTGCTCTATTTTTTAGGGAAAATTTTACTGCTGTGGTGCTTTTGATTCTTATCTAATATCATAAGCATATGAGACAAAAAGTGGACAAATGAATAACAATGTTAAAACTCGTCTAATGTTGTGCCCCTCATCAGAGGGAGGAATGATATTCATCCGGTAGACAATTCGGTTTCATAGCCTTTTCTTTTCCCCTGATAAATAATCCAAATTCCTTTAACCCTTCCTCATAGGACTTGTGTTAATCAGTTTTTAATTCATTATTTACTTTTTATTTTTAAAAATCTTTTAGACCTTCATTAAACCACCATTTCTATGTATTGAATACATAGAATATGTCGCAAAGAAGAAAATATTCTAATTGAATAGGATCTAATTACTTTACTGTTCCAGCATGTCTCTGCCTGTCTTTTACCTCAGGTAGTTTTTAGGGGGACAATCCCACTATTATTTGCTGAGACACCCAGGGAACCCTGTAGAAAACACACTCTGATTCTCAGTTTGTTTCATAATACAGGTATAGAGACTATAGAGAAGAAAAAAGATTCCTTCTTCAAAGAGAGTGTGCTGGCATGTTTATAACCCCATAATTGATGATTGCTCAATTATTGTGCTGACTTGTTTATAGCTCCATAACTGATGATTGGGAAAGTCACTGTGTGCCCTCTAGCTGGACCTGTTTTGTAAAGAATTTAATCAACAGGATAAAGACACTCCCTGAAATAAGAAATTTTTGGGAGCCGGCTACGTGTCTGACAGATTCCATGGAGCCTGGAGGTCTTGAGTCAGAGATCCGACCTCACCCACAATCTCAAGGAATTAGGCTTGCATTGTGTTTGTGCACCTCGGGGCTAAGTGTGACCCAATGTACCTTGAAATACCTGAGATAACAGACTGGGTGTTCCTGGGAGTGCCTGGGTGTTCCTTGGAGTGTCCCAGAGTCCTAGACCTAGAAGTGTTCTTTGTATCATCTCCCACAACTTCCTTATGGCCGATGAGAAAACCAGTGCCACCAAATGATTGACCAGAGAGGCAAACATTTAGCTATTTGCTGAGCTGTTCCCAGAACCTTTATCTGCAGAGTCTAGCTAAGTGCTCCTTCTCCTATACCACGTTGGGGTCAGCGGCCACTTTGAAAAACTCACCTCACACCCATATAGATAACTACATACACATGACACGTTGCCTATAATTTCGGGAAGTTCATGGTTCAGTCACAAAGTTAGGACCTCCCGTGGGTTATGCTGCCCTGTGAGGAGTATACACGAGAGCCACAGGAAGTGCTGAGAAAGTCAGGCGCTGAGCAAGCACATGGGAGAAACAAAGTCATTTTCTGAGATAAGAACAAAAATGATAGCTGTTATTTATTAGGCACTTTTACTTTCCAGGCTCTGTGAAAGCCTTTCCTGTGCATTATCTTCTGTGACTTTTACTACACCACCATGGCAAAGGGGTCATCATTACCATTTTATCAGGAGGGAGCCTAGGATAGGAGGATTATACTTGGCTCTCTGCCACACGGGAGCAAGGAGGGGGCACAGGTTAAGTTTTCGGGGACAAGAACCCATTCTGTCATGTCTTTGTTTAAAGCATTTCAATGACTTCCCAGTTCACTCAGAATAAAAGTTAAAGTTCTTATAGTCTCCAAGGCCCTAGCTAATGCTGCGGCATCATCTTCTTCTATTCCCTACCCCTACACACTCTGTTCCTGTCCCCTTCCCCCCTATTGTTTCTGGAATGTTCCAGGTAAATTCTACTTCAAGGTCTTGGGTCTAGCTCTTTCCTCTGCCTGTACATTTTTCAGATGAGTCATCCTCTCATGCTTTTAAGGATTTACTTTCTGATCAAGGTCTTTCCTGATAACCCTTTTTAAAATTAGAAACTTCAACACGCTCTTCCTCTTCCTTGCTTTACTTTTTTCTGTAGTGCATCATCATCCTGTATATTATACTTTTAGTTATATTGTAACTATCTTTTCCCATTAGAATGTAAGCTCTTCCCGTCGGCAACCATCATAATAACTGATTTGGGCAAGAATCTTCAATGAATGTTAGAACCAGTGGGTGAAAGTGTGAAGAACAGGATATTTACATCTCCCTACCAGATCCTTATCCATTATAAAGGGGGAAATAGCAACTTTACAGTGGAGAATTCTGGCAGATACTATCTTAACCAATGAATCAAAGTTGACACCACCCATAATGGGATACATTGATGCCATGTGCTTCCTGATATGACGTATGGCAAACACTGCGTAGCTTCTGTGGGGTTTCTGCCCAAAATTGACAACCTAAGTCTAGTCATGAAGAAACATTTGACAAACCAAGCTGAGGGATAGTCAACAAAATAAGTGATATGTGTTCCTTAAAAAAAAAAAAGACTGAGAAACTGTTTTTATTGTAAGAGACTACAGAGGGGTGACAACAATGTGTGAGCCCAGACTGCTTTTCTTTTAATCTAAAGAGTGGTATCTCTAAAGGGATAATTGGTAATGTTTAAATAAGATTCCGGTTTTGATCATTGTTATATGGTTATATAAGAAAATGTCCTTGTCTTTAAGAAATACACTGAAACAGAGGTAACAGTGCATCAAGTCTGCCACCTACTCTCAGATGATTCAGAAAAACAAGATACAGTAAAGAGAAAAAGAAAACAAATGTGGCAAATTTTTACTATTTGGGGAATCTGGGCATAGGGTATACAGGAACTCTTTGTACCACTTTTGCAACTTTTCATTAAGTCTGAAATTATGTTAAAAAGGCTTAAAAACTAAAAGAGCATAGCTCCAAAAAGACAAGGATTTTGACTTCCTTTATCCACTGATATGTCTATAGCATTTGCAATAGCAATTGGCATGTTCTACGTACTCATAAACCCCTGTTGAATAAATGAATACCAGCTTATTATTTAACAAGATTCTGGGTGCTCAACAGTCCCTTTTAAATAAGTAAATGCTAGCTTACGAGTTACCAATGAGGCAAATATGCCATCTCTGAGAAGGTCCCTGCACACTCATTTTTATCCAAGGCTCTATGAGAAACTGTCACCCCCCCCTGCAGACTTCAGGGTCCTGTCTGACTCTGGGTAAAGCCAAGAGAGGCTAAAGGTCCTGTGTTGGCCTCTGTCCCTTCACCTACTCAGCACCAACAACTTTTTCAGAGACACATCTATTGGGTCAATAAAAGGTTTTATTACAAATATATTCCAAGGTATAGATAGCCACACTGCCCTGTAAATCACTTTAAAGTTGAGGATGATAGTGGAGAAAAGACGAGGTCAATGCATGAAGGTGAGAAGGACAGTCATGGAGACCCAGTCAGACTAAAGGGAAACCCTCGCGTGTCTGCGCTACCACCTCACGGTGGGCCCTTGGGTGACTCACCGGGATGCCGTATCGGGTTCGATACAAGGTCCTCATGGCGACAGAAGACCCACACAGGCAGCATTCGTTCATTTCGGAGGCAATCTGACACGACAGGCACAGAGGAAAGAAAGTCCCACAGAGGCCTGAGTGAGGGCGAACCACACAGAGGAGTTAGTCCAAGTCATCATGGTTTCCACTAAATCACACGGCTCTCAAACAGAAAACAATGTGGCCATCTGGCTCTTTATGGATTGTTTCTGGGCCCGACCATCCTGGAGTTGAGATGTCATTACATCAGGTCAGATTTAACTGTAAAAGCTTCTATCTTGTCCATCTGAGCATGTAAAATTGATCTTTCTTTCCTGCCCTTGTTTACGTTTGGGTCATGCTTGCAGAGGACGGGTGTGGGGTTAGGATGTCTGAAAAGCCCTCTGAAAACGGTGGGAGAGTGTTTAGGGTCAGAAGTGGGTGAGTGGAGAAATCATTAGTGCCAACATGAGAAAAGCAACAGGGAACAGACTTTAGATGGTCATACAGGCAAAGAGTAGACCTTATTGTCGACACAAGGATAGAAGCCAGCAGAAGCCAAGGGATATTGGCATCCAGAGCTTAAAAAGCTTACTGCACTTTCACTTTACAGAATGTGTGCAAGATGAAAAAAAGGGGCCTCAGAAAGTGGCAGCAAACTGTTCTCAAAGATGCTCTGAGTAAAAGTCTATTTTGGAACGCCCTGGGATGGTGTTTTGACATAGCTGTATCCTAGATAAAAATTAGAAAGTCTTTGTTTTTTTGTTTTTGTTTTTGATTGATTGTTTTAAGCAAAAGGCCATCTCCAATAAACTTGGAACTTCCATCATATACAAAAAAAAAAAAAAAAAAGGAGGCTGTTTCTCAAAGACACTGGAAAGTTACTCTGCACAGAGAGTGTCTGCAACTCACATGGCAATAGACTCTGAAATAAGGAAATTTTTCTCATGCAAAAGTGTGTTTGGTAGTGTAAAAGAACTAGAGGCCAGTAAAGTTAAAAACCTACAATGCTCTCTGAGATGGAACCCCCCAGAGCCACAAGAGTATCACTGAACGCCGGAAAACACAGCAACACAGGAAAAGAAAGATGTGAAGAGAAGACTGGAGAAACATGTCAAGAACATGGGGATACTAAAGAGGTAAAACATTTAAAAAGAGGTGATTGATCTACCCAAGGATCAACAACTCAAGGCCAGGCAGGTGAAATACATGAGTGAAACAGGTTGGAAAAAACACAAAACAGCGGATGGTGGACATAAATATGGAAAACTGCAGTGGATATGGGGTTGGCTGATTCTCAACAGCAGCTGTCTTCTGCGACCTGAGAATGGGAATTCGTCTTTCCTGATTTTCCAAAATTTCAAGAGAAGCTGTACATGTAGATTGGAAAGGTAGATTTTTTGTGTGAAACCTAATTTTTAGATATTTCCTACTATATTAAAATTAGTACATCAAGAAGAGGACAATGGGGGAAAAAGGGGGGCATATGTAATACTCTAAACAATTTTTTTTTAAGGGTCATTATGCACAGGACAAACAAAACACATTTGGTGGCTAAATCCACCATGGGCTTCCGGCTTGTGACTTCTGAGCTAGAGAGTAAAACATGGAACCCAATGATAAGATAAATAAACAATTCTTACTGGGTCATTGACCTGCATTACTCCTAGCGGCCGAGGAGAAAGCGGTTACTATGCGCACTTACAGATCCCCATGTCGTTGCAGCAGTCAAACGCGCCTGTTTGCCAGTCACTGGACACCGTACCCCCTGTGCCATATGTGGGCTGCGAAACAACTGGATTCATTTTCAGGGATAACTTCAGAAGGGCTCTGCCTGTAAAAACAAAACCAAAAAAGTGTTAAGCACCTAACCTTACTGGTTGGCTGTAACATAGAGGCCAGTCGGAAAGGCATTTCATCACACCCCCCCTGATGAAGGGTGCTCACATTCAGCTAACTCAGCGTAACATTTCCAGGCTGCTGTCAACATCTGGAGGTTGACACCATGAAGGAAAGGGGGTGACGGTTTCTTTCTCAGGTTTTCTGTTTGTTTGTTTTCCCCTCCTTTCGCTGATCAAGACGATTTTTCTTTTTTGCTATTTTCAAGGCAACCATCTGGAACAATGTGTATTTTGCATTTGAAGTGTTTCTATTTTATAGAAATTATAATCATTTTTTCCAAAGCTAATCCACAGACATTTTCTCAGTTGTTCCTTAAGAGAACTCTGGGATAGAGTTCTTTACTTTTCCATAAAATAGCTATTAAAACAGATGTTTCTAACTAATGTCAACATTTATTGCATAATTATTAGTGATATCCTGACAGCTGAAATTTAAATAGAAGACCTGGGTTACTTAGAGAAAACAACATTCCATTTCCTTTTGTGAAGATGTCAGGTCAGAATCTGAAAAACGAGGCTTTGAGGTCCCGCAGAAGAGCCCACTGGTTGCAAAACCACTAGGAAATAGTGTCTCTCAAATAAAGTGGCGCCCCCACTTCTGTTTCACCCAATAATCAGGGAGAGTCTTGTGAGCTCCTACTCAGTCAGTACTCTCTCGAAAATGTGTTTTACCAGTGTTCAAACATTCTTCTTTACTACTTCACTTCTGACCACTTACTGTGCTCTGTAGTCTTGGTCCCTACTCACTTCTAGCACTTCCCTTGACCAGTTGCCAGGGAACCCCCTTGCCCACATCGTCCCTGCGCTTCGCTGGCTTCAGCCTTCCTCCACCATCTTGCCAGGAACGAGGGTCCCAGTCAAAGATCCTGTCACCACGCTTCCCGATCCTGGATGTGCAGGAGGTTCGTACTCAGTGCTTGGTTGAAAGGACAGAGTCTTGCTTCTGACTGAGTAGCCTGGGGTGGGCCCTGGGTGTGTAGAAATTTTAAGGGGCGATTCTAATGCAGCCGGCTCTGGTGGCTACAGTGACATGTCATTTCACGCTCTCTCAGCCCTTCCTACTCCATCTTCTTAGCTTGTTGCCTGCTCCTCTTCTGATAGATTCTGTCTACTCTGAGGTCTGCGGCTGTTACCAGCTGATTTCCACCAACAGCTGTGTCCCCACAAAGAGGGACTGACGTTCTCTCATATAATAAAAGCCAAGGCATTTTAACTGCCCTAGAGAGGTGACTCTGATACTTGTTATCAAGAGCTTGCTTTATGACTCAAAGGGAAAACAAGCCAGCATGAGAAGGTGGTATAATGACAGTCAAATCATATCAAGAATTGTTGGAAACTGCAAGGTATAGGTGCATATTTACTAGAATTCAAAGGTCTTTCTCCTCTCTGCTTAATTGAGAGGGTAATGATATCTTTGTTGACAATACAAGAAAACATGGCTACAAGGTAGAGCAGAGATTCCCACCCCGTGTGCAATGCTGTCAAGAGAATGAACTAGTAGAGAGGTGATGGTTAAAAGTCACAAGAATGGCTAGTATTGTCTTGCCCAATCCAGTGAATTTGGACTCGCGCAGGGTAAGGCACCAAGTTTTTGTATAGGAGTATTTGTAGTTCTGGTTGTAATGGGGTCTTATTAGTGTAAGTATTCTACATAGCAGATATTTTCTATTGGTTTCTATCTGTAGACATTTTATTTTAGGAAACCACTGTCATACTATCAATGAACATGTGTGGTATAACTTAAATACAATAGAAAACTTGCTTATAATGAACAAATGTTCCTTTTATTTTTCAAACTTTAGTGTTTGAATCAACTGAGGAGCTTGAAAAGAATAACACATCCCTAGAAATTTGGATTTAACAGGCCTGGAAAGGATGAATCTGTATTTATTTTATTATTATTTTTTTATCCTCACCTGAGGACATTTTTCCATATTTTGTTCAGATAGAGTGGGAGGGAGGGGGAGAGAGAGAGGGGGGGGGGGAGAGAGACATCGACGTGAAAGGGACACATCGAGTGGTTGCCACCCGCACGACCCATCCAGGGCCAGGGACAAACTGCAACTGAGGTACGCACCCTTAGCGGGAACCGAACCCAGGTCTCTCTGAACTGCGGGCCAACGCTCTAACCGCTGAGCCAAACTGGCCAGGGCTGTATGTTTAATAAGTGCCCAAGTGCCTCTTCAGGGAGAGGGGTTGATACAAAAAGTGTGGGTGGTGGTGGGGACCATAACAGTATCATTGCTTAATCTGACCACTTTTAAATCTCAATTGTATTTTCCAACTCCCTTCCCAGATACTGATTTCTCTAAGAACCAAACCAAAAGAGGAGAAAAAAGAGAAATGCATAATTCATTCAAAAAAGACTAGCTTCATTTTGGTATTGGGTATGGTTACAAAGGCAGAGGAAGTGTAACAGAAATTGGAATAAGGAGAAGAAATGAAGAACACATGAGGTGCGAATTTCTGGCAGGTGTGACTCAAAGAGGAAGTGGTTGTACTTCATTTCAGGCAGAAAAAGTCTGTACTGAGAATCTCCTTGGCCCCCTGAGGTGTAAGGGAAGCGTCTGATCCAAGGTCCCGAGCTAGAGAAGTTCCAGCATATGCCCTGGGAACAAGTTGTGTTTTGTTTTTGTTTTCCAAAATAGCAGAACTAGAATTACCATCCAGTTCTAGAGAAGCTGGAAGTCTGATGGAAGTTCCTGGGATTCTTGTCTGGCTGGGCACAGAAAGTAGAATGTCCTAGGTGTGGAAACTGGGTGAGGAAATCCCTAGTGGGAAGGGGACTGGGGCATGCATGAAGAACAGTGGAGACATAGCGTTCTGGAGCAGGAGGTAGGGTTGAAGTGTAGGGAGGGCACTGTGTAGCCAGGTGCATGTCAACAGCTCATTCCCATACCCACAGTGGACATTGCTAACTGATCCTATCACGTAGAATCTACTTCCCCTGGACATGTCTTAGAGTCCCAGACAGTTGTAATTCCTGATTGGTGGAGTTGGACGGAAAGAAGAGTACAGGCTTTGGCGTTCCCGAGAACTGAGTTCAGGTCGCAGTCCTCCTGCTGTCACTCCAGACAAGTGACTTATTTTCTGACAGTGGACGGGGTGCTGCTACCATTTGATCAGAGTTGGCACAGGATGTGAACTCACATATTCGAGAAATAGTTGCCGACGAGAATAAATTGCACAGGCCATGAGTTGTTCAAGTCTGACTGTTATGGATACACCTTCAACCTCAAGTTTGAATTATTCATTACCTTTAAAAAAAAATACTGGGAAAATCAGTCCAGTCAAAATATACAGAGTTGCTGCTGCTGCATGTGTATGTGTGGACCATTAAAGAAAGAAAACTGTACTAGGAAGATTATATTCTTAAAAGAAAAGGACTTCTTTCATAAAAACAGTGCTTTAGGGAAAAAATCAGTAGAGCCAATCGCAGTCAGTTTAGCCAATATATCCAATGGAAAACTATGTTCAAGTTCTTTTCAGACCCCAGAGCTAAAAATTACTTCAGGGCAAAGACTGAATCTTAAATATTCTTCCAGCCCTTCATACCTTTCATAATTGTTTGTACAGTACTGGACACTTCTACTTGTTGTGTTGACTAGTTTGGAGTAAGGATAAAATTTGCTGGTTTGATGTTAAAAAAAAACAAAAAATACCAGGGAGTAAGTTTTGAGAACAGGAAGTTCTGATATAAACCCAGGAATGGGAATGTACTGCAACCGCTATGTGCGCAAATCACGTCTATGCTAGCATGTGCTGTGATTCTGTTAATTCAGTGAACTCAATTCCTAATCTAACCCAGGGACTCACACCACATGCTTAGAAATCCCTGAATTCCCTTTCTTAAAGTAAGATGTTCAGAAATATATTATAAAAACACACTACAGTGTATGTATGCATGTATGTGTTTATGTATAGATTTTGTACTTCTATATATCATGGGTAGAGCTATACTGAGACAAAATCGAGATCAATGTGCACAGGGCCTACCTAGTACATCCTGATTCCGTAGGTCCAGCGTGGGACCCGAGGTGTGCGTTCTTCACAGCCTCCCAGGTAGCGCCCGTGTTGCAAGCGTCTGGCCCCCACTGACTAGCCAGAGTCTAGATCATAATCAGCAACCATTGAAGCAAACAAGCCAGGTTCAAATCTATTTTCTACCCTCGGTGTGTCATTGGGCAGGTGAACTACCTTCTCTGAGCCTCAGTTTTGACATTTTAAAAATGAGAACAGTTTAATACAACTTTTCTTTTTGGGTTGTTGTATTAATATGATGAGATGATGTCAATAGACTATGTCTGTTAAACATTATACTTCCTGTAACATGTCAGTTTTACATTTGTGTTTATTTTAAACTAAATATTAGGGCCTATGCCTGATTTAAAAGCTTCTCAGCGCTCTTCATTCCCTCTATTTCCATCACCCCCTTTCTCCTCTGTCTGCCTCCTGTGGCATTCAGCTTCCTACCAAATAATTCCATGGGTTATATGCAACCTGCTTCTGGTATAAGAAAATAAAATGGAGTTGACTGAGTAGGCAGTATATATGTAGATGTAAGCAAAGTTAACTACATCTGCGTCCCAGATTTCACTTCATTTTTCAAGTTTCATTTAATTTAAGTGTCATGCTGTGTCCTTTGACCAACTTCATTTTCCTTAGCAAGCATATAAGAGCTTCTTAGTTGATGACTATCTATGTTCCTTAAACTGTAGCCATAAATATTTTTGTAATGTCAGGAACAGCTGGAATGGCATAACAACTGGGATAAATACCAAACTAGTGATAGTATCGATCATAAACAATCACCTCTCACAGGACCACGGGGAGGCTTGACCCCTGCCACTACTTCATTCTCTGTCCCTTTGTCTTGTCAGTCATTCGTATCTGAGTTACACTATAAAAAAGTACCGTAACAGAAGTCTGTGGA